TGTAATTTTCCCTATGCTTGAAAAATTTCTTAAACAGCACTAAAAATAAAGAATGTTGGACATCCTGTCCCTGATCAAAATACTCTGACATGGTTTCTTTGAAATTGTCATTGATTTGAAAATTCATTAACACATTTGAAACTAACTTAGATTTAATGGCTATTTTACAATCTGATAAGAATTATGTCTGTAAGGGAATATCTGTAAAGCCTTTCTATTTATTAATCTTCTATTTTATTTTCACTAATCTTTTACAATATCATTCAAATATGAATCACTTACACCCATCTTCATAATGCACAAGTTTAGTAGCAGCAATGAAAATTCACATTCTTGTATTATTTTTAAGTGACTCGTTGACAATATTTATGTGATTGCTTTGGAAGGAAGAAACAAATCAAACCGGCTGATGTAGCATTTCCTCACATATTTCCAAAGTGATGCCTCAAAATCAACAAATATAAGCAGTTGGTAGAATCATGACATGAACGTTTAGCTTTCATTCAGGCTAGTCATGCTTTGCTAGTAATGCTGATGACTCAATTATGCAGCAATGGTCTGTAAAAGTGGGGATCACTATAGTATCACCAAGTTACGTTACAATATCTCTTTGGACCATTACTGTAGAATGCAATAGTGTTTTTTCATAAGTAACACTGAGTTGATGATGAGAAAGCAGTAGTCAAGATAAGTATTTCAGCATTATATAGAAACCACATATAGCATTGAAGACTTTTATACTTGTATTTTAAAATTTATTTTTAACTGACAATGTATATGTTTATGGTGTGTACATGATGTTTTGAAATATATATACATTGTGGAATGGCTAAATAGAGCTTATTAACATGCATTACCTCATGTACCTTTTTTGTGGTGAGAACACTTAAAATCTATCACAGTGGTTTTCAAGTAATAAAATACATTGTTATTAACTAGAATATTTTAAATATGTAATGATGATGAGTTATGTGGCAATGTAGAATATTAGTTATGCGCACTTACTTAGTTTGAAGCCTTACTAACTAGTTTGACTCCTAGCACTGCCACTAACTAGTTATGTGAGCTTAGGTAAATTACTTAATGTCTCTGTGCTTCAACTTCTTCATCTGTAAACTGGAAATAATAGTTTTTAACCTCATAGGGTTGTCTTGAGGATTAAGTGAATTAGTAATGTATATAAAATATAAAGTGCTTGGAATAGTGCGCGGCACAAAGTAAGCTCTGCATAAATGTTAGATGTCATTATTATTATATGTTTGATTTTTTTAAAAAATAATGGAGAAAAGCCATTATGGTGGATAAGTACAGAATTCCTTTCTGGAAGCCAGTATTGCAAAGGGAGACATGACAACACTCCCTTTTAGAAATTAACTATTCAGGCCAGGCATGGTGGTTCATGCCTGTAATCCCAGCCCTTTGGGAGGCTGAGGCAGGACTGCTTGAGGCCAAGAGTTTGAGACCGGCCTGGGCGACATAGCAACACCTCATCTCTACAAAAAATTTTTAGAAATTAGCCAGGCATGGTGGCACACACCTGTAGTCCCAGCTACTCAGGAGGCTGAGGTAGGAGGATCATTTGAGCCCAGGAGTTTGGGGTACAGTGAGCTATGATTGCACCACTACACTCCAGCCTGGATGAGAGAGCAAGATCCTGTCTCAAACAAAAACAAAACAAAAAAGAAATTGACTATTAAATCCTAAATACACTTTCTATTTACCGTTTGTTACCTATTCAAAGTTTATTACTATCCATTCCTAATCGATAAGCCCCAGCACTAAGTAACCCTACTGTGTCCTTGATATTCTAGTTAATAACAATGTATACTTGAAAACCACTGTGATAGATTTTAAGTGTTCTCACCACAAAAAAGGTATGTGAGGTAATGCATGTTAATAAGCTCTACTTAGCCATTCTACAATGTATACATATTTCAAAACATAATGTTGTGCACACCGTAAACATATACAATTATTGTCAGTCAGAAAAAACTTCCCTCAGTCATAATTCCTGTAAGTCGTTTCTCTTTATCTCCTCTTTCTACCTTGCCCTTTCTCCTTCTCCACTTTCTCCCTTCCCTCATATCTCTCTCTGCATCACCATCAAACCAACACGCGTTCTTCCCCTATTAATGCCACTTCCTTTATCCACTTCTGAACCCTTTGGTTTTTCACTTTAGTCCCCATTCTACAGAAACTGCTCTCTGAGGTCACTAATGGTTCCTGAATTACCTGATGGCAGTGTCCTTTTCTTAGTCCTTGACTTCTGTATGGCATTTCACACTGAGGCCAACGAGCTGCTTCTAGAAATTATGATTTGCTTAGGCTTCTATGTCAGCACCCTCTAATTATTCTGTTTGTTACTCATTTTTTTTCCTTCCCTGCCTTTGTAAATGTAGGCATTCCCCAAAGATATATTTCTCTCTCTTGAAAGCTCATAGTCCATTTAATGTAGGGAAAGTAACAGAGACGTTTGTTTCACAAAAACGGTGGGTTTGGATTTTGCCTTTACCACTTGCTTTCTGAGTGACCTTAGGCAAGAAGCTCTGTGAACTTCAACTCTATCATCTGTAGATAACAGTGTGTTTCACTAGATTTATTAGAATAAATGGAAAATACATGTAAAAACATATTCGTGACTATAGCAGCAGTCCCCAACCTTTTTGGCACCAGGGACTGGTTTCATGGAAGACAATTTTTCCATGAACCAAGGGTGATGGGGTGTTGTGGGTGAAGGGGAAGGTGGTGCCGAGCTTAGGCAGTGATACCTGGCCTGTTTCCTAACAGGCCACCGACCAGTACTGGCCTGGAGGTTGGGGACCACAGCTATAAATCACTATTTCTTTTCTTTGCTTTCCCTTGGTAATTGCATTTCCATTCACCTCTCCCACACTAAGGAGAAGTTGGTATTACTAACTACTAACTAGATATCTCCATCTGGATTTTCAATTTGTTAATGAAACCACCATCTTTCTAGTCATCTTTTGGTTCCTTCTTTCCTTTCCCCTTCATTTGCAATATATTGCTAAACTTTTGATTGTACTTCTGCATTCTGTATGCAATCCTTCCTTCCCATTCCCATGGATACCCCCCTAGCTTATTGCCTACATTAATTCTGTGGCCTGCTAACCAACCTTCAGCTTTTCTTCCATTTTATCCTGTACACCAATATTGATTATTCTCCCAAAATATTAGTTCTGGCCATGTTTTGCTATCTCTCCATTGCCTGCTATTACATGACCTAAATCTACCATCCTGTTTTGTCTCCCGCTAGTCTACATCACACGCCCTCTAACCTGAGAGAACTAACTGCCGTTCACTGAACAAGCCCTCAGTTTCCTGCTTGCACTATTTACTCATCTTTATTCTCAGCCGCCGCTTATCAGAATCTCATCTGTCTTGTAAAGCCCAGCTTAAATGGCACCTCCCTTGTACTCTAAACCAAGAGCAGTAATTCCCTCTGTATTTATTGTACTACTGTCTCTGCTAGAACCTCACATGCTCTGCTGTGTGTTCATATCCCATGAACTCTACTGTGTTGTAATCTCATTCTGTCTAATTCTTTGTCTCCCTCCAGGATTTAGCACACTGCTTTTGTACAGTGTTTATTGTTTAGATTAAATATGTTTTTGGAGTCTAACTATGTTTTTTTCCAATAATAGGTTTATGCTAAAACTATAGATGGGCAACAGACTATTATTGCATGTATTGAAAGCCACCAGTTTCAACCTAAAAACTTCTGGTAAGAAACAGATATTCCCTGCTATTCGTATCTAATTTATATTAGAAAGAAACCAGCTGTCGAGACATAGTTTTTAATCTAACTAGCTTGGAATAAATTACTTAACTTATAGACTTCAGTTCCCCAACTATAAAATGAGAGATTTAGACTCCTTCCAATTCTAAGATTTTATAATCGTGTTTTTTTTTTTTAAATACTCTTATATTGAGTGAGAACAAGTAATTAATAAAGTGCTCAGTTGAAAATCCAAGTTATACTTGGGTTCGGGTTAATAATACTTGAGTTAATTGCATAACTCAGCAGCCTATCCATCCATTTTTGGAAGAGCCTCCTGTGAACAGAATAGGCATAGATTTCTACTTCAAGAGAAGAAAAGGAAAAATGAAAGTCAAAATAACTTAGAAAAGTCTTATGGGTGGACCGCTTGGATCCAGATTTATATTTAAGGAGACAGAGCCTTGAATTTGTCAAACTGGAAATGACTCTTTTTCTTTTCCCTCTTGACCAGCTTCTCTGACTCAGTGACAAATCACCTCTTTCTTGTTGATTATTGCTAGTTCTGAAGGATTGTGTGTGTGTGTTTTAATAGGAATGGTCGTTGGAGATCAGAGTGGAAGTTCACCATTACACCACCTACAGCCCAGGTGGTTGGAGTGCTTAAGATTCAGGTGAGATTCCAAAATGTTTATAGACTGCGGTTTAACACATTAACTGCCATGTGAGTTGTATTTAACTCATGCTAGTTTTGAGCCCGGGGCCTCATGAAGCATTTGTAACTCACACATCTCTTCACCTTGGGAGCCATGAGAATTATTTATCAAGTTGCATGTAACTCATGTACAGAAAACAATAAAAAAATGACAAATTTTTCATTAAATTAGGATCGTTTTGTTTTCGAAGTTTTTATTTTATTTTCGTAATAAAACACCATGGCCCCAGGGAAGAAAACTTTTTTTCTAGTGTGGCAATGTGCTAAAACTCACATCTTTAAAACAAACATGCAAGTTGATATTCGTTCTAGTAGTAGAAATAAGGACCAACTATATGTAGATGCAAAGGAAGATCGAAGGTAGTGAATAGAAACAGAAGGCCCTTTCCTGGGGAGATAGTTAAACAGAGATATTCTGAGTTGATAAAGGATAGTCATGTAGAGTGTACTGCAACATGACTATTGTTATTTTTTCTTTCAAAAATAGTGTAAGATCTTTCCAGAAATTACCAAACAGCAGTTTTAGGAAAGAATAAAATAAGTAATAAGAAGTTACTATATAGCAGCTACTGTAGCTTAGGGTCTTTTATGTATATTATCTCGTGTGTGTGTGTGTGTGTGTGTGTGTGTGTATAAAACTTCTGAAGAAAAGCTATATGAATGGTTTTGTTGGTGGTTTTTGTTGTTTTGACAGAAGGTTTTAAAATAAATAAAACTAAATTAAACTAAACTGAATAAAACAGGAACGAGAGAGAATGGCCAGGTGTCGTCTTGTTAGAGTATAAATAACCAAGCAGAGTAGATTTCTAATGCTGGTGTCAAGGCAGACAGGCAGCTGAATAAGGTAGCTCTTAACTCATTCGATGCCTATCTGGACTGAAGTCTTCTAATATCTTAGCAGAGGTTTCATTTTCTAAATTCAGGCTGATTTAATTTTTAAGCCTGACTAACTCTTAAGGTCAGATTAAACAGTTACAGGTAAGTGAGAAGATCAGTATCTAACTGTACCTGTGTTATATCGTGTTAAGTCTTGCTTTAATAATAATTAGCAGGAGCTATCTTTTTTAATGGTATAACTTAATCAGATGTGTAGGTAGTAAATGCTGTCTGCATCCTCTCTTTTCATACATACCTATAGCTTCCTGCTACAAGTAGCATCCCCCAGGTGAGATAGCCTGGAAGTGTTCACAGCTCTGGGAGCAGCCCTCAATGTTATGTAAGAGTTAGTAAATAAATATGCCAGCTTCTTCGCTACTCAAATGAGACAACTCTGAAGCATGTTCTATTTAGTCTTCCAGAGCCCAGTGCCCCAGCTGTAACCTGTTCATTAATGCACCTGTAAGGCTACCTTCTCTTCCATGTCTCACTTTCTCAGTCCCCTGAGCAAGCTTCCTGAGATTAGCTCCCAAATAAGCTATTTTCCCTTAAATCTTTAGCTTGGGGTCTGCTAAAACAGTATATTCTGTTTCTGTTAACTGAATCTATTAGTAGCTTAATGCTCTAGACCAGCGGTCCCAACCTTTTTGGCACCAGGGACTGGTTTCACGAAAGACTGTGGTGGATGGGGGCAAAGCTCAGGCGGTGATGCAAGCGATGGGGCATTGGCTTCCTGCTGCTCATTTCCTGCTGTGTGCTCTCCCCCTTCCTTTTTTTCCATGAGGGAGGTGGACAGGGAAGCTCTGTGGCCTGGTGCTTAACAGGCCATGGACCAGTACCAGTTTATAGCTCAGGAATTGGGGGCCACAGCTCTAGACCTTTTATATGGCATCAACATTAACCTGGCAGCTTACTATAAATTTATGTAAGTAAATTTACCTCGTTTACAGGCAGAAACAGTTATTTGTATTTTAGCTTTGCCAGTGCAAACCTATAAAGTAAGAGCACTCATCACAAAGGGTGATAATTTCTGGTAGGACTTTTATAAGAGACCCCAGTGTGCAGAACCTCATTGATACCTTTCGAAGCACATACTGTCTGATCAGACTTTCAGGGAAGTCTTACTTCATTTATATATCTTTTAAAAATCGGAGTGAGAATTATTTGGAAGAGTCATTAAGATATTTATTTAGGCTAGTCTATAGGCAAAAGGGTAGTTCCAGGAAGGCAACAATGTCTGAGGATTTGTGTTGATGACAGTCAAATTGAACTCCGTATGCATTAACTGAACCATTTTCATATTAGGAGATGAGACCTAGAAAAGGTTTTGTTTTGGTACAGGCAGAGTTTAAGCTTAATTTCTAACAATTATTATATCATTAGTATATTAGATAATGAAATTAATATTTTTAGAATTTTCAGTTGAGTTCATAAACAGGCTTATGGCCTTATCCTATATTCCTTTCCATGTCCTAGTTCTTAAGAAACATAATGGAAGTTCATACCAATTGCATAGTCTTTGTTCTTGGACAAAAATGAATGTGCCCTGCATGCCTCCTTTCTTTAGATGACTTCTGAGAAATATATTAAGTCTTTGTTTCTTCTCTGGCCGGATCTCTCTCTCTCTTTTCTTTTTAATATACCCCATCCTGTTTATTCTCATTCCCCTTCCCAGTGTTCTTTTGAGCCCCTTGACTTCTAGTTTCTTAGTTGAAAAACAAACAAAACTAGTGTTTAGGTGTGACCTACCTGTATTTTGAATATCCTTGTCCTTGTCTGTTGGGATTTTAGCCTTTATATGTCATCATTATTTAGCCCAATCTTTTTTGCCCACATCTTTGCTATTCTGATTTTTGCCTGTAAGTATTAGAGCCATTTATCATCTCTCTTCTTTTCTTCTTTAACCTCTTTTAGAAAGCCAAAAGATGAAATTTCAGGGTTTGGAGAGAGTATGGAAAATCTAAAGTCTCATTCCCATCTAGATGGAGCCACCTGTTTGTCCCCATTAAAAAAGATACCTGTTTTTGTCCCTTAAACATGGATATATAGTAGGTTCATGTTGCCCACAGGGAAGTCCTTTTATTGTGAATAGGACCATGGTTTCTGCCTAAATGAAGCTAGGCTGTTAATTATCTTCTTCTAATGATATCCCAAAAGAGTAAGCCCCTAGTGAGACACTTTATTTCTACCCAGATTGAAGAATTTCTGACTTTTTGACAAAGCGTAGCATTAGAAGGTATTGTGCATGTTGGATAAGGTTTTAGATCTAGAACTTGACCTAATTCAAATCCTAGTTCTTCCTCTCAGTAGGTATGTGATCGCGGGTAAGTTATCAAACTGCTTAAAGCCTCAGTTTCCTCAGCTGTAAAAAAAAAAAAAAAAATAGAGTTAGTAGTAGTTCTTATCTCCTAGAGTTTTTGTAAAGACTAAATGAGATAATAAGTGAAGTGTTTTGCATAGTGCTTAACACATAGTAAAGGCTCAATAAATAATAGCTGTAGTAGTGAAGATTACTATTCCTCTCTTCTCCTTTTCTACTTTATCTCTAACAACATTCCTTTTTGTTCAAAAAACGAAGATGTCTTAGTTCATTGGGCTGCTGTAACAAAATACCTTAGGCTGGGCAATTTATAAACAACAGAAATTTATTGCTCACTCTTCTGGAGGCTAAGAAGTCCAACATCAAGGCATCAGCAGATTCGCTGTGTGGTGAGGCTTGTCTCTCACAGATGATGACTTCTTGCTGTGTCCTCTCACGATGGGAATGGGTGAGCACTGTGTTCTCAGATGGTGGGAGAGGACCAAAGGAGCTCACTTGAGCCTCTTAGAAGGATGCTGATCCCATTCATGAGGGTGGAGCCTTTATGACTAATCACTTCCCAAAGTCCCCACCTCTTAATACTATCACATTGGGTATTGGGTTCCAACATAAGAATTTTGGGAAAACACCAACATTAAGACCATGGCACTAGATGAAGGAAACAGCATTACCTGAACTACTGTCCTAGCCCTCAATTTCAGATCTTTTCATTTTATTTTCTTCATAGCACAAGTGTAATCTTTCTAAAACATGCCCTTTTCCTGAGTTCCCATCACCTATAATAGGATAAAGTCTAAACTCTTAACATGATCTATAAGGTGCTTTCTTCTTCACAGTCTGTCTCCTACTTCTTAGCACTGTGTCCTGCCTCACCGTCTCTTAAACACATATTCATATGCAGTGAGTTCTTTGCTCTCCTCTAAACTAAACCACTTGTACTCCATTCTCGTAATACTTTTTTGTTTCCTTGCTAGATACCCTTCTCTCCCTTGTCCCCTTAGGTGACAACTCCTATTTTTAGGACCCTGTTCAAATGCACTTAACAAAAGGATACCCTTATCTTATTGTATATGGCTAGTTGGTAGCCATATTAGGGTGGCTGAACTTACCTTGTAAATTGCCAAAACTTCCTATAAGCCATACATGTCATTGATTTGGTAGTCTATCTCTTGTGTACTCCTCCTTTTTGCTAATTGTTTTCATAATTGTAGCATCTCATTTTACCTTATGTCTTCAGAATTGCTTTTATCTTACTTTGGTAGTCTAATTTACCAATAAAATATTCAATTTTCAATTTTGTCTTTAACCCTCAATTAAGCTTTTCCTGCACCTGGTCAGATCTACTTTCCAATATTGATGATAGTGTATATGGAGAGATGTGTCAGGTATTAGGATCAATTAAAACTCATTGGTTTTCACAGAGAAAAACTGTTCAATGATTTTAATTATTTTAATACCGTTAGGAGTGGGATCTTACTCATCTTTGTGTTCGCAATGCTTAGTACAGTGCCTGGAATGTAAAAAAGTGGAAAGTCAAACTTATAATAATTAGTTTTCCTTGGTAAGGAAAGAAGGAATTAAGTGTTCTGTGGATTTTAATTAACAAAAAAATAAATAAATAAAAATAACTACCACCGTGAATTACCATTGGTTATATTAATTATTTGTTCAGAGTTCGTAAAGATGGCTTACCAACTTAAAGATGGCTTATAGCACAGATTTGTATTCTAAGCAATAGGTGTATATATGAAGTTCACATAAACTTGCTAAAACATTGTCTCATACAGGTTCACTATTATGAAGATGGCAATGTTCAGTTGGTTAGTCATAAAGATGTACAGGATTCAATAACTGTTTCGGTGAGTATGGAATATTTAATGTCTGTCTGACTTGGGTCTTGTTTTTCTTAAAAAAATTCATTTTGAGCCTGAGCCCTGATTCTGCCAGTAGAAATTCAGTTTGCTTCCTTGCTTTGATTTTGACAGCCTCTATTAGTCCCTCTTACTACCAGCCAGCTATGTTAGTTCACAGTCTTTGACTGAAAATAGAGATTATGGCTTTAGAGAAACTTCCTTCTTTCTCGCTTTCTCCCAATTATAAAATTTGCTCAAGGACAGTAATCAATACCAGAATCAATAAATTCCAGAAGCAAGGAAAGTTTGCCAAACTAAATCCTAATAGGGTTGCATTTATATCATTAAAGAAACAACCTTTTTAGGAGTATTCAATTAGAAAGTATTATGTTTTATACCTTGAAAGAAGAGACATAATTTCTTTTTATTCTTTCTTTCATGGTATCATTACTTCTTTAGAGTCTTAGAAGTTAGTGAATACTCCTAAAGAGCTTTTGTTTATGTGTGTTATGTCTATCAAAATTCACCTTCTTAAAAATTAAAAATGAGGCTAGGCACGGTGGCTCATGCATGTAATCCTAGCACTTTGGGAGACTGAGACGGCAGGATCCTTTGAGGAGTTCATGACCAGCCTGGGCAACATACAAGACCCTATTTCTACAAAAAATAGAAAATTAGCTGGGTGTGGCGGCACATGCCTGTAATCCCAACTACTTGGGAGGATAAGGGGGGGAAGATCCCTTGAGCCCAGTGGTTTGAGGTTACAGTGAGCTATAATGATGCCACTGTACTCTAGCCCAGGCAACAGAGTGAGACCTCGTCTCAAAAAGTAAATAAATAAAACAGAGAAATGTTAAAAATATTAATTAAAAATAATGAAAACAAACTCATTATTTGTTATCATAAGTAACATCTTTATGAGTAACTATGTTTTCCAAACAACAGCAAAAAACTAGAGGAATGGCATTAATTTATGTCTTTGCAAATTGTGTAATGCCTGGCTTAATAGAAGACAGCAGGATTCTCATATCTGCCTCATACATTCCATTAGCCCTCAAAGTGATAAAGTCATCACATGTCATGTAGCCTCCAGGAAACTGCATTGTACAAGCATTACAGGGTGAAAGTGAAATGGGCAAATAACTTTGTCTTAGTACTATTGTAAAAATGGAAAATAGTTTTGACCTCTTCACGGTCTGTCTTGTGTCTGCTGCTGTAGTCATTAAATCTTACCTTCTTCCCTTTAATTCTGTTATACTTAATGGTGAGAGGAAGAGAGAGATTCATTTTGTACCTGAATCATGTATTAAATAATACAAAATGTGATTGGCTGCTTTAACATCGTAAGTGGCAAATAAAGAAGGATATGAGCTTACATATATGACTGATATGTCTGAGGGCATTGTTCATATCATTTTAAATGAGAAATATTTTCAAGGAATCAAGATTTGAAGACCTGATGATGTCTTTTCAACATATTGTGGTAAAGTGGAAAGAGCATGGTTTTTTTTGGTGAACATCTAGATTCAGATCCCATATTTATCATTCAAAAGCTATATAATTTTGGTCAAGTCACTTAAGACGGTTCTATTTTCTCATCTGCAAAATGGAGGTGATGATTACAATATATCTATTTCACAGGGTTGTCGTGGTAATCAAAGCAGGTAAAGTGCATGGGAACACTTGGTAAACCAGAAATTGTTATACAAATGTCAGTTAAGATGGATTTACTTTTCATTATCTTTTTATTGACTGCTTATACATTTTAAAAAATTCTTATTTTCCCCTTTTCCTTCCTCCATTAGAATGAAGTCCAAACTGCCAAGGAGTTTATTAAAATCATAGAGAATGCAGAAAATGAGTATCAGGTAAGAAGATTTGGAACTAATTTTTCTAGTTCTACTATCTTATTATTTTGCTGTTAACATAGTTTGTTAGACCTGTGTCCTTTAATGTAAATATACATACTGTTCAGTGCTACTAAGTGTGGAGACTTTGCAGCAACTCGGCATTCTGCTTACAGTCAGGGTTTCGGGATTGCAAAGGACCATAGCTCTAGTTTTAGAAATAATAAAAGTGAGCTTCAGAGATTGGAGAGGAGCTCGCTAGAAATATATCCTATCTCTCCTTCATAGGGGACTCAAGCATATCCACTGACTATAGCATTACTTTGCTATTCACAACCAATCCCATTTCTGTTCGAGCAACTCATTTTCAATTATCTATTGCAGACAGCAATTAGTGAAAACTATCAAACAATGTCAGATACCACATTCAAGGCTTTGCGCCGGCAGCTTCCAGTTACCCGCACCAAAATCGACTGGAACAAGATACTCAGCTACAAGATTGGCAAAGAAATGCAGAATGCTTAAAGGCTGAATGTAGGATTCTTCAGTATGTGGAAAGAAAAGGATTCAACGTGTGGTCATATGATAAATAAGTGATTTATAAACAAGAGTGATATTTTGCTAGGGCTTTCAAAGTTAATAGGTTTTCTAGCCTCATGGAATACTGTTGAACCTATAGCATTGTCTTGATTCTTTTGTGTTCTCTGCCTTGTAATTTTCTGTTATCATTATATCTACTTGTAAATTTTTTTTTTGTTAATTTTGCTACATTTAATGTTGGAGAGAGAAATCTATCCTGGAGTCATTTTGCTGTTTAGAAAATTTTCCTAGCCATGAAGCCCTGTTATTGATTTAGATAAAGTAATATGTTCAGTACTTTTCTACCCTTATCCTTCAAAGAACTTCTGGTACTTCAGTGGTTTTTACTTACCCACCAATAGCAGTTAAAGAGGCTATGCTATATAAACTATACCTAAATGGAAGACACATGCATCCTTCTCCCTCCAACTGCTTTGATCATCATTTATTAGCATCTTATAACTGTAGTTTTCCAAAGTTTGGATTGGGACTTTTCAGGTCCTTTTGTGGGGTGTCGGGGCAAGGGGGGAGGAAGTTTTCTGGAAATTCCATTATAGCCAGCTTCTCTGGGGAACTTGTTTTTAAATCCAAAGACTTGAAATTGAACCACATTCCCTGCACATGAACATGTTTGCTTTCTTCCCTTCCTTCATTGTCTTCTTCCCATCTAGTACCATTGTAGTTATAGACATCTGCATTTTTAGAAGAGTTTTACCCATTTATTTTTTTTTAAACATTTAAGAACTACTAACATACTGTGGATATAGTAGAGTATAAAACTTGAAAAATGCAGATGTTGAAGGAATAAGTATCTTGTGCTTTAATACTTTGTGGCAGGATTGTGCTATAGCAAATGAATCAAACAACTATGTAAATCACAAACAAAAACTAAAAATGAACCAAAGTGAAAAGGATAACTTCCAGGCAGTATCTTTCTATTGTAACCTGTTATTTAAGGGAATACTAGTGATTTCTTCTAAATAGATGTAAAACTTGTTCCAAATTACTCTTCCTCAGTCCTGCCTGCCAAGAACTCAAGTGTAACTGTGATATAGCAACCCTTCCCAGGTATATTGGCAGGTATGTGTGTGAGCTCAGAATACACAGGTGACGTAGATATGATATGACAGCTGGTAATGGTGGATTCATTTACATTGTTTACACTCTATGACCAGGCCTTAAGGGAAGGTCAGTTTTTTAAAAAAAACCAAGTAGTGTCTTCTTACCTATGTCCAAATACATGTCAAAAAAGAAGGGTGTTTCTGCTTAAACTTTGTTTTTGCTCAGTAATACAGTCAAGCAAGAGTTTGTTTCCAAGTGACCCATTGAGCTGTATAAGCATTTTTGTTTATTTCAAATAAAATATATTTGTATTATTTGTCATTCATACTATCCATCCATACCACACTATCTTCTGTATCAGGTAGTCCAATAGAAATATACCTGTTTTGTTCTAAAATTGTCTGAGTCTCTCCTTTTTGGTTCATCTCTTCAGCCTTTGTTCCCAAGGTAAGATACTCGACTGTATTTGATCTTATTTGTTGAGAATGTTTAGGGTTTCTGAAATTAGTTCCTATCTTCAACTAATATAGACTCAGTAAACATCCAAAGACTTGCAAAGAACACCTTTTTTTTCAGGGGAGAGCAATGTCTGTGGATCTTATTGCTCTTTACTCAAAGGCTACCAGTGTTTCAAAGGTTTCGTTTTCTTAATGTCAAAAAGAAAAATCTAGTTATCTTCTCTGCCTATCATTCAGAAAGGAAGGCCTAAGTACAGTTGTAGTCACTAGGCAGGAAGTAGAAATGAAAGAATCCCTGCACCTTGAACTTGGTAATATTTCGCATTGGCTTAACTCTAAATGCTGCTTTCCACTCTTTAGCTGGCTTAGCTACAGACTGTGGGAAAGGCTTTTATCCTGGTTCACCATGGAAAACCGGAGGGAGTTTGTGTGGTTCGCCATCCAAGGCCAGTTCAAACTCCTGTTCAAGGCCATTTAGCTGTCCTCATTCTACTTGTAATACAAATAGATTCAGACATTCTTGCCTTTAACTTATTAACTCTGTCATCCTGCCCCCAGGCTATCCCTTTATTTCCTTAGCTCAGACAGACTTTTTTTTAAGCTCTTAATCTCATGACTATCTAAATCCCTTGGTTACTTGTATAGTTGGGTGGAAGTCAACCCTCCTTGCCAAGGTCCTGCAGAGACCCCAACTTCTTAACCTCCCTCAGCAGAATATTTGCTTGAATTGTGTCTATTTTATCACATGCTGCTGAAATCAGCCTATGGTATCCTAGGACAAAGGTTTCCCAGCCAGATGGGATAGGAGTTGACTCATCTGAGCCTCAGTGGTTGGCCTTCTGTTGGTTGCCTAGTTCCAGTGCCTGTTCTCTATTTTATAATCTAGAACTTTGATGCTGGACCCATCTAGGTTAATGAGTTATTTGGCAAACCTTGGTACATTCTCTCCAAACTCAAAAAAGACTGATAAATATCTGAATGCCAATTTACAAATTTACAATTTTATATAGAACTATCAAGTGAACCCGATTCTCATGACCGCCTTCTAGTTTTTCAGCTACCTACTATGTGAGAAATCAAAGAAAGGAAGGTTGGTAAATATAGGACAAAACTGGTGGGTCCTATAGTTTAAGTTGAGCTAACTTAAATTCTCCTTTGAATAGATAGGGTATATATAAATATAGAGAGTCAATATAAGCCCATTGAGGGCAGAAACCAATCTCACATCTCTTCAAATCCAAGATATCAAAAAGCATTCTGTTATGTATAAAGATATACAGTTGATTCTCATTATTCAGGTTAGTCACTTGGAACACTGAATTAGCAAATACTCTGAAGCTTATCTAATCGGAATTTTCTCTGTAAAGCCTCATCGTTAGGAACACTATACTGCACTTAAACACTACACTTGGGGGCCATTTTAAGCAGTGAAATCACTAGCCAGAAGTACAAAATACAAAAATCTCAGCACTAAATAGACCCCAAAGGGGCACTTGTTTATCATATGAAACAAGGAGGCAGAGCATCACTGTATTCTACTTTAGCTGGGAACATGCACGTTGGGCAACCCTAATTTTTCGCCACTCTGTGCGTGTCCATGAATGACCACATAAGTACTGCAACTATTGATTTGGGGGCTACAAATTTTAGTGAGTAAGTGAATTTGCAAACATAGAATCTGAAAATAAGGAGGATCAACTGTACCGTCACAGCCTCTCCTTTGTGGTAGACTAATTTTAGTATTTCAGTGATCTTGGGAGGATATCGGTTTATTCCAGCGATAGTACTGCCCAAAGGTAAATTTCAGACAGCCTTCATTCAGTACTGTTTGGACGCATACTAAAATCAACTTTATTACTTTGAAGTCAGATTCTTACAAGTGCAGATGGATTAAAGGAAGGCTTTAAGGAAGTGAGACCTGAGCTGGATGTGAAAGGTGGGAAAGAATACCATTCTAGACATCCAGAACAGCATGTGTGAAATGACAGTTACAATCCCTTGTGAAGCAGATTTTTCCAGATAAAAGTGGTTACAAGAAGTTCCACTGTAACCAAAGCCACACAGCATCACATTTTTACCCAGGTTTTTACTACACACTGCAGCTGTTTGTGCATGTTTTGAGGACATCAGGAGAGAAGCCTGACCAGATTAGGGGGGAGGTCATGTGTCCAGGAATAATGCAGACAGATTTGCTGGTCAGAATGGATCCAGACGTTCAGTTTGGTTATGATAGATGGTAGGTTTTTGAGATGGTAAGTAACAAAGCAATTTTGAGGAGTTCACCCTCTTTACTCCTCTGGGGCCTCATCAGGTAATTGGGGGAGAAAAAGGTGAAATCTGTGGCTACTTTCCTACTTTTTTCCTCTACTTTGCATCATCACTTGCTAAGACATAAAGTTTTCCCCTGCTCTATTTTCCCCCATCCCTGTAGCTCTGGTTCCCACTGACACTGCATTTCCTGTTGCTAGTGTTATTCCTGGCTTTAGTTGGTTGTTGGCCTGGGAGAAGGTACAAGGGTAGCGCAGCTGGAGCATAACTTGGTTCTGGACAGTCTTCAATTCCCTAGATTGAGCGTGTGGCCTCCTACTGGTAACTACTTTGGAGAACAACACTAGCTTTGATATATTTGGAACTCTGGTATATTTGATTTAAAACTTTTTTATATATAACTTACTATCTTTGTCCCATTCTAGTTTGTGTTTTTGTTATTTCATTCTGGAAGATAAATAGATGCAAAGCTTGTTACTGTATGTTTGTTTTTGTGGTAACCCCACCCCCCTTAGATTGTCTAAACAGTTTCTTCTGAAGTACACTGGTCTTTTACTTTTCTTCCCGGTACTGATGGCTGTAGCTATTAACCATTTATTGCCTAACATAACAGTACCTTGCTCTCAAGAAGCTCATACTTTGATGATGGTGGCCACCCTTACTTACATACTAGTAAACATTAAAGAGCAGTACAGACTGGAGTGCAATTAAGTGCCCAAATATGTGGCTCAAGGGTAAGGATCACCAGCTTTCCACATAATGAGGCCTGTTTGGTGGAGAAGAGTAATAACTTTGTCCTGGCAGAGCCCCTTGTCCCTCCCTCCCACACGTACACACCTTTATCTCTGAGACACTTAGTTCTTTCCCCCAAACTTCTTTGACTCTTATCTTCCTGTGTCTGAAAGCCCGAGAAGGGAAAATAGGGGCGGGAGCGGGGGTGCCTCCCGGTTTGGTACTGGTGTATGTCCCTGAAAGGCTGCGGGAGGTTCTGGATGAGCTGCCCCAGTCCAGTTACAGCCAACCCAGGTCCCAGGCCCTGCCCTTTGCTCCCCTGCTTTTCTGTGAGTCCCGAGGAGGGTGGGCGTGGGAGTATCCCTGGCTGAGGCTCGGAGGTCCTCCCAGGCTGCTCGGGGGGCCCCAAGCGGTAGCCACGTTCTGATACTGGATAGAAGCCAGGGGAGGGAGCTTGGGGTAAGGGGAGGGCCCTGAGGGAGGGGTCAGAAGCCTTAGGAAAGAGTTAATGCAAAGAGGGGGAGGGGATAGGACGAAGAAACCAAAGGGAAGGCTCAGGTAGGACAAGAGGAGAGAAGCCTGGTGGGGAGAAGGGAGCCCGAAGGATCAGGGGTGAGAGTTAGGGGGCTTCCCCTCTGTTGTACCCTTATCCCAGGGCCGCCAACTTCTAGCGGCGGCGGCGACTTTCAGTTTCATTTCCACGGACCCTCCTGTCTGGGCCGCAGCCGCCGCCGCGATGCCCAGTAAGTTCAGCTGCCGGCAGCTCCGGGAGACGGGCCAGTGCTTCGAGAGTTTCCTGGTCGTTCGGGGACTGGACATGGAGACAGATCGCGAGCGGCTGCGGACCATTTATAACCGCGACTTCAAGATCAGGTACGGGCCGGCCCACTCCCGGCCCTGAATCGCGCGGGCCCAGCTTGCCGCCACGACTTGCGCGCCGGGGCCACCCTTCCCGCCCCGGGGCGCAGAGGGACGCAGCTCCTCCAGCGGTTCAGGCCCGTTCTGGGGCGGTGCAGATCTCGCCTCCTGCGCCGTGCCCACGCCCCGCCAGCGCTGCCCGGAGCCCACCCGTTCTGCCCGGGCCCGGCCCCTGCGCCGAGTCCCAGCAACAGCCTCTGAGGCTGCCCGCTCCCCCGGCGGCCAGGCCCAGGGCGAGAAGCGGGGTCCTGTGCCCACGCGCCGCTCGCGCAGGCTGGGGACAGCGCTCGCGGTGGGGGAGGGGAGGCTCCAGAGGGGGCCCAGGGATCGCGGGAGCGCGGGGAAGGAGCTGCCTGCTGGGGGCTGCAAGCCCTGGCGCGGGCTTTACGGGGACCCCCTTCACCTTTTTGAGGGGCTGCTGCCTTGGGGGGGGTCCACTGTCTGGGAGAGCTGAAGAGGCCCAGTGTAGGAGGGAGAATCTCAGGGAGCTCTGGAAAGAAGAAAAGAACGCGAACTACGTATGTACCAAACCTCCATTAGCACCTGTGGCTTCTCCATGGAGACCCAGGGCCAGGCACAGCCTCCTGGAGGCCTCTTTTACCCTGCGGCTGAAAGCTGTTTGGTCTCCTTTTCCTGTTACCGCCCAAGTAAGAATCAGAGAGACTTCTGTCAAACCACAAAATTGTGCTTCAAAAACACCTTTATCAACAGGCTGCTGCTTTAGTCAGAAAACCAAGAAACTGTTTAACAGGGATAAATGTAAAGACTTGTACAAATAAACATGGGGTGGTGGGAATTTGGGCTTAATAACAGACCTCCTGAAAAAGACCATGGATTTTAGCAGACCAGAAGGCCAGTATGAGTGAGATATGGCTGATAAAACAGCTAAAGGAGTCTTCAACTGAGTTAATAGAAGTGTGGTATGGGGTGTGGGGAGAAGGTAGTGACTGCATATTGACCAGATCATGTCTGGAATAGTGTTGTTAGTCATGGATACCACATTTTTAGAGGGGCATTAACA